ACACACACACACACACACACACACACACACACACACACACACACACATCCATGTTAGAATATATTGATTATAAAATTTTGTTTGTTACTGCGTGGTAATTTTAAGCAGTAACCAGTGGTAGAGATTTGCATCAAGATGTTATAATTAAAATTCCATTAGTAATCAACATTGGTTCTGCGCTGAAAGTCACCAATGGGATAAAACTAGAATAAAATAAAGACTTTTTCACGATGTTTGCGATGAATTGAGGTTAACCAAAAGCAGAAAGGTTAGTGGGATTTTAGCCGGGCGTAGTGTAGGGGTAGTCTGATATTCAGTTCTTGGATACTATTATAAATCCTTAAAGTTTTATGCCACTTAAACATCTGATTTAGATCTTTGGATTTCTTTCCTTTATTTCTTGCACCCTCCTTTGCAGATTTTTGAAGTGAAATAAATTCTGTTGGCAATACTTAAAATACATTACTCTTTAAGAACATTACCAAATGCAGAGAAAAGTTATCTGTTTTTGTTGTACACCAGATGCCACTGTGGTCCAGTGACTAGTTTTGACACATTGCCTGCTTACTGTTGTACATTACAAGAATGCACAATGGCACTAATCATGGAAATGTCCTCTTGTGCAGGGATATTTATCCAGTCTATAGTGTTTCTACTCAGTGTTTGAGGTTTGTAGGTATTTGTTTTGTGACTCAATTGACATTATTCCAGATGTGGAATGAAAATAGAACTGTCTGAAAATTGAATATGTTTTTATTCCAAGGAATAAATGAAATTGCTGAAGATGTTGATGGAGGACCTGAACACAGTGATTCTGAGGATTCGGAAAAATCAGACACCACTGATAGTGAATATGCCAGTGATGAAGGGCTGAAACTAAACAATGGGCAAGAGGAAGGAGAGGAAAAGGAAGGTGTCAGGAGTGAGAAAGATTCCCCTTTTGTGAAAAAGAAGCCAAAGCAGGTAATGGCTCATGATGAAGTAAAGCAAGAGACAAGTCCAAGTTCGGCTATGGGTAAAAATGAAACCACTGGGCAGGAAAAGACAAATGGGGACCCTGACAAAGAACTTGTTGAGAAAATGAAAAGTCTGCATCAGGCAGCAAAGGAGAAACTAGGGAATAAAGATGAGACTGACTCTCCAACAGTACACTTGGGACTCGACTCTGATTCTGATTCTGAGAATGAACTGGTTATAGACCTGGGAGATGAAAGTAAAGAGGCTGTTCGAGAAGGCAAAAAAGGGGAGAAGAGCAAAAAGGATCAAACTCCAACACCGGCATTGAAGGAATCACCATCTGCATCAAATACAGAAAGTATGTATTTTAGACATTTGTTTTCTTTAATGATGTATCACTTTGTTATACCTGGTGGGTGTCAAGTGATGATGGGTCCTTTCTCTAAAAGTTGGATTTTGGATATTCTGTGACACCAGATGCGTAGGACAGGACCTGATCAAAATTACTAAATCGGAAAATCAATGCCTTGTATTTATAGAATTGTTTAACATGAGAATGAAGGACCTTAACATGCAAAAGAAGCAATTGCATTGCCTAATTATAATTAACAAACTGGCAATATATTGGGATTTGGAGTTTGTTTTAATTGTAAACTGCTCAGTAATGACGTATATGCAGACTCTCTGAAAAGTGGGATCATGGTGGAAACTTCAGATTGGCTGAATCAGATATTAAACATTTTGGTGTAGATTTTGCTACTATGATATAATGCATTGAAATGAAGGAGTACAGCAAGTTGTGGAAGGATGTATCTCATTTGAAGTATTTTCCACTTTTCAGTTAAAATGATTTATTGTCAGAAATCTAGTTTTACACTTTTGTTTTTAAATGTTCATTTTTTGGCTGAGCGAAAGCACTTGTTTGCTTCAAAACGCAGAAACCTAAGGCTTTATTGGCAGTCTTGTTTTGGCCCCAGTCAAGCTACAAGTAGCTGTGACTTGAAACTGGATTTAAAACTTTGTTGACTCAGGAAAGATTGAAACCAGAGTTTTGAGAAGCACATAGTTTCACTGTAAACTGGTTGGTAGTGTTTTCTGGGGAGGGGGTCACTATCTTGAAGAAAACATAGTGCTAACTAGAGAACTTGATCATAGATAATCAGAGATGTGTGCATCAAACTGCTGATTACCCTGTTCAACAGTTAAAGGGAAAATATAATATTCCTAATTATGTATATAGGTAAAGCATCGCCCACTTCAGCTGTGGCCAGTCAACCGAAAGGTGAGGCTGCTTCTTCAGTAGCCAGTCTCCCAAGCCAGACCTCTTCAACCAGTATTACAACGACTGCCAGTGTTGTGCCTACTGCCACAGTTCCAGCTGTTCCTGTTAGCAATAGTCCGGTTAAAAAACAACGGCCTCTGTTGCCAAAGGAGACTGTTCCAGCTGTTCAGCGTGCAGTGGTGTGGAATCCCTCGACAAAGTTTCAGACTTCCTCACAGAAATGGCACATGCAGAAGGTACAAAGACAGCAGCAACAAGTACAAGCGCCGCAGCAGCAGTCTCAAACCACAGGGACACGGTACCAGACAAGGTTGGCTGTGAAAGGTATAAATATTTTGAGTATTTATCTCTAATTCTAGGAAAACATCCAACTTTGTATTATGTTGGTAAATTTGTTGCTATTTGAAAATCATCTTAAACATTTTGGTTTTGTATTAGAGAAGTCATGTTGACCCAGTTCAGGCAGTAAAGCAGTGCCGTATTAAGGAACCAGAAAGTATCAGCAATGGGAGCTAAGCTCATAAAGGCTTTTCCGATGATTTTGGAGTTGCACTATACCCCACTGTTTCATTTAAAAACTATGACCTCATAAGACTGGGGCAGCTGACAATATACAAGGCAGCACGATGACGACTGCCCGTCTCCCTTCTCATCACGGGACTGACAGCCCTCTATTATTTTCCATGCTGTAAAAGAGTCAGAGTCTTTAAGCATGGAAACAGACCCTTCGGTCCAACTAGTCCATGCTGACCATGTTTTCAAAATAAACTAGGCCCACCTGCCTGTGTTTTGCCTGTATCCCTCCGAATCTTTCCTATTCATGTACTTATCCAAATGTCTTTTAAATGTTGTAACCGTACCTCATCAGCCACTTCCTCTGGCAGTTCATTCCACATATGAACCACACTGTGTTTATAAAAGAAAAAAAGCTGCCCCTCATGTCCATTTTAAATCTTTCTTCTCTCACCTTAAAAAATATGTCTCCCTAGTTTTGAACTTCCACACCTGAGGGAAAAATACCTTTGCTATTCACCTTATCCACGCCCCTCATTTTAAAACCCTTTTATAAGGCTTATATAGCCTCAACCTCCAACTGTCCAGTGAAAAATGTCCCCCCATCTAGCCTGTCCTTATAACTCTCCCTCCATTCCTGTCAACATCCTGGTAAATCCTTTCTGAATCCGCTCCAATTTAATGGTATCCTTCATACAGCAGGACAATCATAACTGTACACGTTACTCCAGAAGAGGCCTCACTAATGTCCTGTACAACCTCAACACGACGTCCCAACTTCTGTAATCAAAGATCTGAGTAACGAAGACAAGCATGCCAAACGTCGCCTTAACCACCCTGTCCATATGTGGTGCAAGTTTCAAAGAATTGTACACCTGAACATCTAAGTCTGCCTGTTCTACAACACCACCAGGGCCCTCTTGTGGCATCTGAAATGGCAGCGAAGTGCCAAGTTAGGTGTTCAAATGTTCGAATTCTTTAACTTTGTTCTGTAAGAATACACCAAGTTAGAGCACAGTGACTGAAGTCTCATGCTGACATTAACTTTTGAATTGCAGCTGTGCAGCAGAAAGAGGCAACCCTAGCAACTTCAACATCTTCTATTACTTTGGTTACAAGCAGTTCATCTACACCTGTGGCAGGCAGCAGTTCAGCAGTGGTGAGCACAGCTTCCAGTTCAGTCTACAGTACTGATTTGCCGATTGTTACTCCATCTGCTGATGTCGCTGCTGACCTTACAAAGTATACAAACAAGGTATGTCTGCTGTTTGTCTTTTTATTGAATAGTTTTATCACATGACTGTTACATAGACATTGCACCATGGATGCAGCTCATTTGGACTACATACTACGTACAGAACTGGTCACAGTACTTACGGAGGTTGTTAATGTGTTGGAAGCAGTTCAGAGCAGATTTATTAGACTAATAAAGCAGATAGACTAGACAGCTAGACAATGCTCATAAGGCAATCCAGGCCTGTAACCTCTCAAGTTGAGAATATTCCAAGATGACTTAAATGAAACATAAGATCCTGAAAAGACTTGACCAGGTGGGTATTGAAAGGATACTTCCTGTTGTTCAAGAATCTAAAACTAGGAGTCATAGTTTAAAATACATATGACGAAACATTTCTTTTTGAGTGTTGAGGGACTTTGGAATTCCCTTCCTCAAACAGTGGATGCAGAATCTTTGCTTTCAAATATTTAGAGGTAGCTAGATTCTTGATTACCAAGGTAATGAAAAATTGTCAAGTGTCTGCAGGAATGTAGAGCTGAGGTTAAAATCGGGGGATCAACCATGATCTACTTTGAATAACAGAGCCGAGTGGCCTACTTTTGTTCCTTGTTCATATGCCCAATCAATTCATGTTCGTCTGTATCCCATGTGGCTAGTAGTTCTAGTGCAATGTAATTGTTCCCTTTCAAAATCATTTTATTTCCCTTTCCTTCAACCATCTCTTAAACGTTGGATATGATTTGTTTCAGTCACTAACTTCAGTGCATTTCTCAGGCTCAGAATCTTTTGTCAGTCATTGGGTGGGAGGAGGGAAGAGAAGCAAATAGTTTCCCCAGCTTTTTGTATACATCTTCCACTGTATTTATGTCTTATAGTTCTTTGATCCCCAATCTTGAAAACATTATCTCCCAACCCTTCTTCATTTTAAACATTTCTGTGTAATCTTGATTTTTCTTTGTTCCAAACTGGCACAGACAAGTAGAATTTGCTCAGGGTCACCTGAAAAGCCTGAATTTTATCATGCCTGTCTTCATATTTGTCCTTCCTCATACAGTAGGCAAGTCTTTGAAAATGCAGTTTAGTGTCTATTGCATCAGCATTCTTCCTGTTTTGTGGAGCCCAAAATTTCACACAGTGCTCCAATTATGACTTTGTTCAGGGTTTAAAGAGTCACTGTTACATCTTGACCTCTGCATTATGTATTTCATTCCATAAAAACCTGTCCTGTGTTAGTAATTTTATGGCCTTCCTCAAGGGAGCTGCTGCTTTTTAATGTTCGCTGAACCTAAGCCTCTAAGTCCATCTGATGTTCCACATCACTTAGTTTCTTACCATCAATATGTAATTGGTATATTTTGGTAATAAAAGCAACATTTGCATTTACTGACAGTGAATTGCTTTGCCATGGTTGTGCCCAATTCACCATATTATCAACACTGTGTGTTGCTGCTTTTGGTTTTCCTATTTCAGTATTGTCTGGAAGATTGAACATCATTCCATCTAATCCTGTGTATGAATCATTGATCCACACAATGAACTGATAAAGAAAACATGCATTTTATGGCTGTAATTTATGTAGTATTTTGAGTTGTAAATGCTCAAACCTGTAGTCTTTTATGTTTCATGTCTATTTCAAATACGTTTTCTCATGCTCAAGGTGAAAGTCCCCTTGCACAGTCAAGTTGTTCCATATAATCTGAAATATGACTTTGTACCTGAAATAACCAGGTTTAATAGGTCACAGGACAAATGGTTAACTTTTTCTTGAACAATTGATTGCAACAAGTAAGTGGTAAGATCTTTCTTGCACCACATACACATAATATGCTGTAGAAGGAGCTGGACAGTGAACTTCCCACTGTAGAAGTCAATATGGCCACTGACTATCTTGCCAGTGGTAATGCCCCAGAAAACAATAACATTCTATCTTAAACTATCAGAAGTGGAAAAACAGCTCCTGCTGTAGAATCACCATAAGGAAGGAATGATATTTCTAAAGACATGTGCAATGCAAACATAATCACCTTGTACAAAAACCAAGGAGATCACATTGACTGCAAGAATTAGTGAGGCATATCCTAATTAAGTATTGCAGGGAAGTTCTTTGCTTTCATTGCACTGACCAGACTATAATCCTAGTGCATCTTCAGAGATTGCAGGTTGATGGTTAATGTGGCCCTCTCTACATTTCCTTCACAGACCTCACCAAGGCTTTAGAGCTTGCTGGCAGAGGCGGGCTCTTTAAATTGCAGTGAAAAATAGGCTGCTGCCTGAATTTGGGCATTTTTTTTGCACAAGAAAATGCACAGTTTTGTCAGTTACAGTGAAGCATCAAAAGAGGCTTTGAAAATACTTGGAGTAAAATAGGGCTGTATCCTGGCAGCAGCTCTGTTTGGTGTATTTTTTTTCAATGGTGCTAATGAATGCTTTCGACAACGTAAATGAATGTGTGTCCCTGGATGCCAGAACTGGAGGCAAGCTGTTAAACTTGGCAGGACTGCATGCCAAGACTGAAGTGCTCCAAAGTCCTAGTCTGTGATCAAGCTGTAATGGCATCCCGTAGTGAACTTTACTTGCAACAGTGGTACATCAAATCTCTCAGGCCTGCAAGGAGTTTGGACTGTCAAATCTCTCAGGAAGACCAAGATTTTGGGTCAGGGCTTAGAGGCTCTACCTTCCATTAACATTAACAGCCTTACTGTGGAAGTCATCAACAGTTTTGCATACCTTGGATCAACAGTTATCAGGAAGCTATTCGTGATTTTGAAATATGTGTCAGGATTGCTGTGCTGGAGCTGTCTTGTTGAAGTTGAGCAGTAAACTGTGGCTAAAAAAACAAAGCTATGTATGTGCAAGGCTTGTGTTCTCAGCAACCTCCTTTTTATATTCGGGAAACATGTACAAGTCAAGAAAAGATGCTGTACCACCTCGACTGCCTTAGAAAAATATCAGCATCTCCTAGCAAGATAGAATGCTGAACTTAGGCGAACCTCAGTCACCAGGGATCACCAGGATGTTTAACCTCTTGAGTTAGTGGTGACTCTATTGGTTTGGTCATGTGAGCAGAATGGATGACAGGCGCAACCTCCAGGGTAAACTCTATGGTAAGCTTGCTATCAACATGAAACCAACAGATCACCGCATCTGCAATACAAAGATGTTATCAAGCATGACCTTAAATTTAGTGGGATCAGAATTCGGAAATCCCCACTACTGACTAGAGTGCTGGAGATGAGAAAAGAACAAAAGAAGTGACCAGATAGTGAGCAAAGGACTGTCCCAGATGAAAAAATGCATCAGTAGACCGTAAGCAGATTCTTAATCCAGAAATGACACATCCCAGGCACGATCCATTGTCTCCTGAGATGGACAGATGCTGAGACAGATGCCAAAGCAAAATTAAACATGCCTTATTCTGTACCTGTCATCAGTATAACAGAATTGATCATTTAACAATAAGTTGATTTAAGTTGAGAGACTGCATGAAAGCTATTGTAATGAATGGTCATTCATTGTAGGTTCAGTGGCCAAATTGCCTCTGAAGAGTTGAGGTGTGCTGTTGGATTTTTGATGTCAGTCATATCATAGATCAGTGCATTTAACAAACCTTTGCAAATGATCACTGTCCTGAACACACTGCTTCATGTTCCTGAGAGCTCAACATTGAGTTAATTATTCACTTGAGCAGAGTTAGCGGAACAAAGTGAAATGGTAAGCATTAGTCCTTACAAGAGAAGGAAGAATTCCTTCCTGAAACTCTTGTTCATCCTCAGAACTTTCTTGCGTCATGTTTCTGGCAGCTGCGCACAAGAATGCCTGTTGTAAATTGTAAATATTAGATAATGTTCAGCTATTCGGAAGGTAGGGAAGGTATTAGTTGTAAGTTCTGAATTACAGTTGGAGAGAATAAACAATTCTTTAATTTTGAGATCAGACAGAATTTCATGTATTACAGTATCAAATAATGTGACTATAGAAGATAGTACAACTCAATCTAGTTTTTATTATAATCCATATGACTCTTACTTTCTAGATGATGGAAGCAATAAAGGGAACAATGACTGAAATCTACAATGATCTTTCCAGAAATAATTCTGGAAGCACGATAGCAGAGGTTAGTCACTTGTGTCCAAATTGGAGTCTATCTGTGGAATCTTATCTACTGTCATCACCTCACTGATCTGAATTGACTGTTTATTTTATTTGGCAGATTCGACGAATGAAAATTGAAATTGATAAACTGCAATGGTTACATCAGCAAGAGCTAGCTGAGATGAAACATAATCTTGGTAAATGTTACGCATTACTTTTATGCTGCCTACTGTATTTTCTCTCTGTTGAAAAATTATTATTTTCTTATACCTACTCTGTGTCATACTTTGATGCCTTATCGGGCTAATAAAGTAAGACTGGGATGAGGAGGATTTCTTCTGAGGGTTGAGAGTCTTTGGAACTTCTTGCCACAAAGACCTGTGGGAGCAGATGCTTTTTGTTTCTTTAAGGCTGAGATAAATTGTTGATTTGTCAGGGAATTGTGGGTTATAGGGAAATGGCAGGAAAGTGGGTGTGAGGAGTGTCAGATCAGCCATGATCCTGTTGAATGGTGGAGCAGATTTGAGGGGCTGAATGGCCTACTCCTGTTTCTAGTTCTTAGGATCAGGGGTTTGCACAAACCTATTATTAACCGAACTATCAAATTAGGAAACCAAAATGAGCTGGCTGTTTTTGTCCCTCAAGGGTGGCATGGAGTGGTTAGCATTGCTGCCTCACAGCACCAGGGATCTGGGTTCAATTCCAGCCTTGGGTGACTGACTGTGTAGAGTTTGCATGTTCTCCCTATGTCTGCATGGGTTTTCTCTGGGTAGTCTGGTTTCCTCCCACAGTCCAAAAATGTACAGGTTAAGTGGATTAGCCATACTAAATTGCCCTGTGGTGTCAAGAGCTGTGTAGACTAGGTGGATTAGCCATGGTAAATGTGGGGTCACAGGGATAATTTGGGGTCAGGTTCTGGAAGGGATCCTCTTCAGAGGGTCTGTGCAGACTCGATGGGCTGAATGACCTCTTTCCACTCTCTGGGGATGCTATGATTCTATGACACCCTGAGACTCAATGTCTTTTTCTAATGTTACACATGAGATTGGCTAGCAAATTATGGGCCCTTTTGATATTTGGCTTTTTCTTTTAAAACCAGATATTCCCCTTGTAAAGATATTTGTGTCGATTTTCAACTTTTTGCTCAGCCTCAGAATTGGTGCCGTGAATCAGCTGTCTGGTTTCCATTTCCCAGTTGCAAACCTTTTGTGTCTTCTTCTTTACTGTTTGCTTAGGTTTTTTGCATTATGCACCATCCTTGTTGAAGAGAGACCCTGGTAGATAGCTACTCTTGCATCTGTCAGTGTCATTCTGAACCTAGCTGCCGGAAGGTGCGAGGGAGGAGTAAGACTTGGCTTTCTTCTCTTTTGGGAAGTACCTAGCCTCTGCAGTTTTTATATAAAAGACATTGACGTTAGTAACATTTTTGCAGAGAATCTGTGTAAATATTCATTCAATTACTTTGCAGCATGTATAGATTTTCAATATGCTACACCTTTTTCCTTGCCTCATCTTTAGATAGGTGGTTGCCATTTGTTTCATGAATCATTGCACCAAGTGGACTGGGAATAATAACTGCAGTCTTGTAAGGCTGGATTACTTCCAATTGCTTATGTTGTTTTAAGATCTGTGGATCAAATTTGTACAAAGGATTTCAAATGTACTTCTGGATAAGTTTGATATTGTTATAAATGAGTTCCCAAGTTCTTGATCCACCAACTCTTTAAGGTCATATCATAAAAGACTGGAATGTAAATGTAATCAGTTGTTTTGGAGTAAATTTTAAACAGGTTGCTCCATTATATTGCAGCCGTTAAACATTTTATGGTTGGAACTTAGGGAGCTTCCCAGATATAAACTGAAGCACCTGCATGTTTTCTGGTGTATTCCTGTATTTTACTCGGTGTGTATGCAGGAGCAGAATTGGTACAGAAGCTCCTTTAGTCCACAAATAGAAGTTGGATAGGGGTCTGTGACTGGTGCAGTTTTGGTTTTGATGACCTGATTGTGCACAGAAGTTTTACTCGGCTTGAAAGTACAAGAGCTGAATGATGGAGAATTGAGATACCATTTAGATGCGTTGCTATCTCTCTCTGTAAATCTTCGTTAGTTTAAAAAGAACTATCCTCTTTTCACACATTGTTTGTTTGCATATGAGCTGTGATCATTTTCTGAAAACAGTATCTGCTTATGTGTCTTAGAGTTAACAATGGCGGAGATGCGACAGAGTCTTGAGCAGGAAAAGGATCGCACGATCACAGAGATGAAGAAGCAGATGGAGGCAGAGAAGCAGCAGGCTGTTGATGAAACTAAGAAGAAGCAGTGGTGTGCAAATTGCAGGAAGGAGGCCATCTTCTACTGTTGCTGGAACACCAGTTACTGTGACTATCCTTGCCAACAGGCACACTGGCCAGAGCACATGAAGTCTTGCACTCAGTCAGGTACGTAGTATCATAACTTAGAGACAGACTTGAGCTTTCTAGCCTGGACGTTGTTTTCACCTTGAATTATATAATTTTAATACAGAACGTAAATGGAAATAAACACCTTTTCACAAAACAAGTCTGAAAAGCTTTTCCTTTTGTTTAAAACAAAATTGCAACCCTTTATCTTTTTTTTGAATAAAGACTAGAATTGTGAACTTGAGTCACAATATTGCAGGAACAGTGATCTTAAAAAGGAAAGTATTGGATGCTTTATTTCTTTTGATTTGCCTTTACGGTAATGTCACCTTATCCTTGAAGCTGTGGGCAGGGAAGATTGTGTTGATTGTAAGCCCTGAATATGAGGAACACTAGACATTAATCAAACATCTAGTAGATTTGACCCATTATGAAACAAATACCTGACTGTCTTCACTCTGAGGGCTGCGGAAGGGTCACCGAACCTGAAATGTTAACTCTGATTTCTCTTCGCAGATGCTACCAGACCTGCTGAGTTTTTCCAGCAATTTCTGTTTTTTGTCTCCACTCTTCACTATTAATGTCCAGAATAAATTTCAGTCAGAGAGAGTAAATCCTAAATAAGACAGTTGGCATTTTTCAAGGATTGCCATTAAGTACAACAATTTGATTTCAACAGTTTTATCTTTTAATTGTAGCCACTGCAACTCAGCAGGAAACTGAATCAGAAGTGAATTCTGATGCATTAAGTAAGAATGCACAGCAAGCCCCCACAGTCCAGCAATCACCATCGGAGAGCAAAGCCAGCCAAAATGACAAGGAGCCAGGCACAGATAAAAGCAAGGAAAATGTAAGTATTGGCTGGTTACCTTTAGTCAATGAAACTTTGTTTCGTACACTCCAGGCTTATTCTAGTCATTGTATTCTTTGAATATCTTTTTCATTTACAGAGCTATTCCCAGCTCAGTTAAGTAAATCAACAACTATTTGTAACTGTCAAAACATCAATTAAAAGTACAAATGTGCCGCGAAGCCCGATTCAGAATTCATCACATGCTGCAATGCTGCTTCGTTTCAACTTCTTGCCAGAGGATAGCTAAAGATATGAACTCTAAATATTTGAAAATGCTTCACAACTAGGTTTACTCTTCAGTGTCAGATATTTCTGATCATCTTGTTGCGTTTTGCACGGTTACACTGTTATTTTGAATGCCTTTCATAGATCACGATCTTTTTCTGTTATATAGATTCAAATAGAAACCAATGTTACAAGATTAACTGGTTCTAAATTGATGGGAATTTAGATGGGAAACTGCAGTTGTATGTAAGATAACCAGCTTCTTGTTTACTTGTTGAACAAGATAGTGAGACTTCTAATCCTCCCTTTCAAGGATCAACCTATAGAAACTTGATACAAATCTTCATTTAACTCCAGTTTATGTTGGGCAAAGGCCAAATTACTTAATCAGCATATAGGTCTTTTGAAGTATTAATTTAGAAAGGAGCTTAATTCTGATATTATATATTTAGTCATGGCTAGATTTCTCTTGGATATTACGTATGTGTTCTTTTCCTTTTGCAATTTTTTTTATTCTTTTCCTCTGCCTTGAAGGAGTTATAGCCTTGCTGCAATATGTTTACTCAAATACCAGACTCTCTGCAACATGTTATGTGCTCGTTGTTCCTCTCTAAGCCTCTGCAGTGAAAGTCAACAAACTAAAAGGTTGTATTCGCATGGACTTCTCAGCTGAGCCTAATCCTGCCTTCACGTCCCTGGTTGATGCTCGTACATGCTCCTGCAGTAGAATGTGTTGTCCTAACTAGCTGAGCCACTTACAAGGTTTCAACTAGCCAGTATAAAACAGTTAATGTGCATAGCAATGTGAATACTCTCCAACTGGCATGTTTCTGGTTTCAATCATCTTCTCAGGGTGGAGACTGGAGCTTGCTAATGAAGTAAGAGGGCATTTCAGGAGGCAAATGGACTGATTTGTACTTGTGTTCTTTTGAGCAAGCTGTTTGTTCTTCGTGTTATAAGTCATTCTTCACAAGATATGCATATCCTTTTATATGGTTTTTAAAAATAATTGCACTAGGTAAGGAATTATGTCTTGGGGAATGGAACACTTATTATCCGGTGGCAGTGTTAAGTAAACCAGGATCTAGATGTGGGTTTAAATGCCCCATCCTCTACCTGCAATGCTAATTTCCTCCAATTTTTCAATTAAAAATCCTGCACTGCACTAATAGGATTCTTTCCTATTTTCCCACAATCATTTTGCTTCTCTGTGCCAGTTTGAGCCTATTTTAAATTAATGGTATGCGTTTGATAACAGTGATACTATCAATGCTCATTGCTTTTATAGAATGAATTGGACAACAAATTTCAATGAACAAAGAACTGCGAATGCTAGAAATCAGAAACAAACTCAGAAATTGCTGGAAAAACTCAGCAAATCAGGCAGCATCTGTGGAGACAAAGTAGATGTTTTGGGTCCAGGGACCCTTCTTTGAGACCCAAAACATTAACTCTGCTTTCTCTCCAAAGATGCTGCCTGATCTGCTGAGTTTTTCCAGCAATTTCTGATTTTGTTTTTGAACAGATTTCAGTGACTGGATACCTCCTAGTTAAGTGGCAAAATGGTAACTTCTAGCCCAATTCCACTGTGGTTTTTCTACAAAACTCACTTCACCATAACTCATGATAGACTCAGCATTAAAACGCACAAGGATCGTGAAGTTGTGGGGCTGGCAAAGTGTGCCCTAAATCTGCTGGAAAAGTTAAAGCGTGCATTTGTGTATGATGAATGAGTCCTACTCGCACTAAAGTTATCTGTACAAGCATAAAGTTGCAACCTTCTGTAATTATACTTCAGTTATATGTTAAGCAAAAAGTAATTTTTTTTTTGTTTTCTTCCTAAATGTTCCAAAACTTTGTCAAGTCTGTTCCCCTCTCTCCTTCAAAGTATTCGTTACATGCTACTGCTTTGACCATCTTTTGCATCAACATCACTGTGTATGACTTGGGGTTGGTTTTGCTTTGATACTCCTTTGAAGCATGCTTGGGTGTTTTAAAATGTTAAAAGATTTCTTATAAATACAAGTTGTTGGTCTGTACTTCTCCATCACTTTATCTTAATTGTAGTTTTCTTTTTCTCTCTCTCATTTCACTTTCTGTATGTGATTTTTAAATTGAATGAAATACTTAAAGCTGCTCTGTCTGATTTAGACGCAGCTTAATCAGTAAGGAAAAGACACTTTTGTTTGCCCTGCACACAGATGCATTGTAGAGGGTCCTAGACTGGAATGGTTCTCCAATTACCATATACTGCTATACAAAAACTCAGTGATAGTCTGTAGGCATTGTGAACATTGGACACTATTTGGTTGCCACTGACACCAAAATCGGAGTAACTTTGGATAGTAGGGCTCTTGCAGCAGAAAGAAAAAAAGTAAAAGTTATTTTATTATAACAGTCTGATTTTGATTACACCTAGGTTTCAGAAGCAAAAGGACAATGCTTTAACCTACTGCATCATCGATTTCTCTTTCTCCTCTTCAATCCTGAGTTCTTCAAACATAAAGATAGAAACAAAAATGGATGGAGCAGCATGGTCCATATTTTCTTTCTTGTCCTGTCTGTTTCTTGGTATCATCAAGTGGAAATGCCTGATTCTTTTAGTTTAATCAGAGTGAGTTTTGATCGGGGATTACCACTTCAAATTCAGGCCATAAAACTGCCGTTTTTAAGTTCCACAGACCTTTTTGAGTCACCCAGATCCACTTTATGATAAACTTTGTTTAAGAAACCATAGAGGAGTAATTTTTAACATAACACTGAAGTTTAAAACTGGTGTGGTGAGTTAGCAACGTGTTATAGAAAGTGCCCCATCTTCCTTTCCCTTGATTTTAGCAGAGGAGCTGATTTTATAATCCAGTGATGAGTTATAATCAACTCCCACACTATTGCCTGCAACTAACCCTGAGCTGGGCCACAAGAGATTTACTGGTGATATATAAAATTTCAAACAAAATAATAACTTTGTAGCCCAATTCTGCTGTGGGTTCTGAAGTCTAAAACGAAAACGGACTAAGGTTATCTCAAAATGACATGACAGGCATGAAGACCTGCAGATTTTGAAGAAAATTACTCAGTTTCATTGTTATTTAGAAACTAACAATTATTGCTGAGAAAATGGTATGAATATCTGATCCAAGAGCCTAATTATGTTGCTATTGTACAATTGAGGGGAAATGAATAGTAAAAGAAGGAAGCAAAATGGTTGATTTTATCAAAAGGGAACAACTGAATTAATATTCACGTGAACTTGTTAAAAGCTTTTTTACAGAGAGTTTCTAGCAGTCCAAATGGAAGAAAACTACAGTTTGTTGAATTATTGCATTTTATCCTATATAAAATTATCCTAACTAAAAGCAAAATATTATTCCTAAGATTATACTGACAATATTCGTAAAATATTGCATTTGAATGTCTCTATAAACCACTGTCACAGTGATTGGCACCAGCCTATTCAACTGGTTAAGGTCTAGTCAGAGACAGCTATCCACATTCTAACAACTCAACCCATAATTGAAAGTACAGCAGTTTACCAACTAAACAGATGTTGACAAATGGAGAGTAAAACAAAATATTACCTATTTAAAACTATGAAATGTTTTGTACATGCCTCATTGGCTGAAGTGTAACTTCAAACTGTCTGTTAGACTGGGCAGTGATACTTAAATTGTAATGGCCTCAGTTTTCTTTTGTTTGGGCACAACTTCGTTGCATCTTGGAATAATTCACTAAAACTTCAATAGCTATCTAGACACTATTCCATCAGTTGTGAATGATCAGCTGATGCAGATCCTCTCTGACTTCTGTAAGGCAGATTTAAACATGCTAACTGTTCCTCACAAACCATGTGTCCTGTCGTACCAATAAGCTACTTTACAGACTATTGGAGAATGCTGCACATGGTTGGAGTACAGTTGTTCTCACTCCTAAATTAATTAGAAGTAAAATACAATGTTTAAAAAGTAGGTGGGAACCGTTTAAAACATTGCTCACCAAATGTTAATTGTGATCACTACAAATGCGTCTTTTGTAACATTAATGTTGTGCTTATGAGATTGTCACCTTCCAATACCAAAGAAAATAAGAATATAAAATAAATTGAGCCCCTCAAGCCTGTTCTGCCATTTAAAATAGTCATACCTCTTTAATCCATTTCTAATTAAAAATCTACCTATTTCTTCCTCAAATATATTATGTTCCAGTGTCCACCACGCACTGGGGTAATGAATTCCACAGATTCATGACTTTTTGACTGAAGTAATTTCTCCTCCTGCCTGTTTTAAATGTGCCACAGCTTATCCTAAAATTATGGCCCTCACTCTAGATTGCCCCACAAAGGGAAGCATCCACTCGATGTCTACTTTGCCAATCTCCTTTTCAATCTTACATACCTTAATTTGAAGCTCATTCTAATAAACTCAAGTGAGAAGTGGCCAGTTTCTGAGAACTGTGATTTGATTGAACACTATTTTGCTTGCCCTTTCTCTAGGACACTCTCTCTTTTAAATAAAAACATTGAAACCCTTAATTATGACAGAAGCACAAAGGTAGAGTTAATCTGTTCTGAAATTGTCAGTGGAGTTTGTGTCACGATGGCTATTGTTCTTGTACCTACTCTACTGCACATTTTTACCATTTTTTCCATACTGTCTGTCTCTCATGAAACATGGCCATTAGAAGCCATGCTCTGCTGGAATGAGTGACTCAGCTGCTGTTGCTTTTCCCATTTTAATATTTTGTAGCTGAAGAGTGCACTTTCGTTTGACTCTGAGGCATTGCACCTATTGTTGTTAATTAGTAGTGTTTGGGTGTCACTGTAGAACTCTCTTTCTGCGCAGACAATATCCAGAGGATTCAGTTTACCAACACAAAGTTGAAATTCATCTTCAGGTAAGCCAACTAGTTCTAAAGCATAGTTCTTGGCATATATACCAGTTCATACATGTATAGCCCTCATCTCTGATAGGAAAATATCACTTTGGTGATTCAAGTATAGATGGATTAATTTTAAATTTAACAAAAAAGGTATATTTTCTTGAGTTCTGGTACATGCAGTACAAGAAATGAAAGAACAAAATATTGGAGAAGCTGGAAATCTGAACGGATTAAAACTCAATTGTAACACTCAACAGTTCCTCTTTACACAGCTCTTTTGGGATCAGTGAGGTTTTTAGCTTTGTTTTCTGTGTGGAATATATTGTTCAAAGTGAAACAACTCTTTTTGAAGTGTTGGATTACCTCTTGGTGCACAACCAAATTTTTAAAAATGTAGTTTTGTATGTGGCCTCACACTTTGTAATTTGAAGAGGCTGACTTTTGTACTGCTTGCATGGCATGTTTAGGGCTGCTGTGAAACCATAATACTTAACGGGGAACATGTGCTCTGTGAAGGTGCTGCATTATGGATGAGTCTCAATTTACTGTGGATGTCTGTTCTCTGCCACTGGCAAAATCTCATTCATCCTTCTTGTCCCTTTCTTGTTTATGAAGTGATACCTTATAGGTAATTCACATTTGCAGTCTGTGATCCCACTCCTCTTTCTTGCATCCACCGTATATGCCATTTTGGCTACTAATGTGAGCTAATACTTTCCTGTCATGTTTGTTTCTTGTCATTATTTGAGAAATGGAAGTGATGATGAAATTAACTTGAAGTTCTGTGCATAGCAGGGGAAAAAATATTTTTCTCTTTGTACGGTTTTACTCATGTTCTGTAGGATAGAGGGAGATGCTCATAGTTACTTTTCTTCTGAGGAACATCAGAATCACAGCAGGTAACCCAATTCTGTGGAAAGGGGAACATGGGCAATACAAAGAGGGAGAAACGAAAAGTAAAGAGGATGCTTGGGGAAGCTCAGAATTCAGTGACTTCAGATTTTTGTAATTTTTTCATGGATATTTTATTCCGATGTCCTGATTTCCATGTGTGTCCAGTCTACAAGAAAGTGGGGTCTTGGCTTTACAGGAGTTCACTGAGTTTATATAGTGATACTGGTGGTTTGAATGCTGCTGTAGAGGGTGGAGTGTATACAAAAGGCATATCTTCTTATGTACCTTGAATTTCTAGTGATTGGTGGCAGTGTGATATGTGCTTAGAGATTGACTCATGCAACACTCATTTTCTGGTCTTTTTGTTCCTATGCAAAATGGTGGGCAGGAAGCATACTTCAGTTTGGATAATCGTGGCCCATCATTTGTGAAAGAAACAATATAAGATTTTTTTACTTGCATCTGAAGCAGTATTGGACTCTTTGATGTGCAAATAAGGGGAATTATTCCTGCTGAAGTCCTCTCCTCGAGGTTGATTTGCCCTGACTGTCCTCTGGGAAACCAGTTCTAGGTGTCATCTGCAACAAGATACAAGTCACTTACCTGAATGTGACACTGGTTGGAATGGGAGTGCCTCTCCAAATTCCACATTGAAAGGAGAAAATCACAGCCAGGTCCCCATCTCACCACCGCTAGGTCAGACATCTGCAATCGTTGCAATCACCTTCTGAACTGTTCAAGGTTTTAAATTGCTAAGGTAGTCTAGTCCCCGAGCTTTGTCAGTTTCTAATATCAGAGAAGGAAAACGGACTCCCATTCAGAGGCTAGCAAGCAAAGTTGGGTGAGTTTATACTGAAGCATAATTTCACCTTTTTGCCAATTTTTAAAGCATTGTTAACAAAAAGCTAATGTTGGGGTTATTTGCATCACCTTTACAAATACTCCCAGTTTTTGTACCACTTTATAATAAATATCTGGCACTTGACACATCCTACCGCCAACTATATCATATTGAGTATTGTTGTTCCTCCTGCAATCACATTGGAAACTGGCTGACAAATGCAGAAGAGCTGTGGTCTCCTCCCACTGTCTGCAGCCATATTAAGAACGGATCAGCTATGCTGTGGACAATTGGGAATAGAAGATTGACATTTTAAAACTGCCAGTTATGAGCACAAATTAATTAAATGATCAGTGTCTTTTAACTTTTAGCCCATGTCCATCATTATTTTGGAGTGTCTCATCTTGGTAAGGGAATATGGCAACATTGCTCTGCCTGCTGAATTCTGCTTATCCTTGAACCTTGTCAAAATAAAAATTACACTTGCTTCTTAATGCTAAGGTGATTAAGCTGTTTTTAAACCTGTCATGGGGAACTGGAGGTGAAGAAGCACAGACTACAGTCTGTAAACTCTGCTATGTCCTGATACCTTTCAAATTTAGGGGTAACCTAACAGGTTTTATTGTATGTGAAACAGGCAGAATAAATGTGATGTGTTTAGTTTGGTAGTTACCAGATTCACAATTGTATTCCAATGTTTTCTTTGATTGTGGTGTGCTCCTTCGCTTTCTGATGAATTGGACATGTTCAGTGACCCAGTTACAGAATGTGGTCCCCTATTTCTGTACAGTGGGTGGAAAATTTGGGGAAATAGCAGGTGAGTTATGGGCACCCACGTTGCAGGTGGTCAATGAGCTGCATCAAACATGTTCCAGATGTTGCCACACAAATGGTCTGAATTACAATTTTTCTTTTAGAATTTTGCAAAGGTAAGCAATGCACTGTTTATTTGTCGAGGATTAATAGATTTGCAATTAAATTCAAATGCTGTTTTTCCACCCACAGACAATGCCAGTTGTAGTGACTCCAGCAGTTGGTGCAGTTGCTGTGCAGCCAGAAGTCCAGTGCACCCAGACCACAATGCCTGTCCAAACCCGCAGAACCTGAATGCCCTAGATCTTGTTGGACGACATTTGAAGAAGGCAGCATTATGGATCAAGACTTTGCATGGAGAATGTGTGAATATTGCCCTCGCTCTCCAATGAATACATACATTGCTTATCTGCTTTGTACATAACATACAGAGCTTTCATGACACTACATTCTTGCCTAGCATTAAAAAAATTGACAAAGAATCCAACCTGAAGTCTTCAGAATATGATCACGTCCCACAAGCCTTTTCATCTTTTTTAGAATTTGTCAATTCTAAAGCTTCATCCCCTTTGTATTTTCTTTTAATATGACTTAATGGAAGATTCTAGACTCTAGTTTCTGAAAATGTAGTGAATTGGGGAACGTATACAGCATGCAACAAAAAAGCCTTTAGTAGTTGGACCACAGCATATAATATTTATATGTAGGAGTCTGTGAAACCCAGTGACGTAATGAGCATGAAATGGGGGGTACGTTTTGGCATTTCTAATGAAGGAGTACAACATGGGGAGGTACATCTCGCTGCTCATTTATTTTCCTCTTCTCCACATGTTAGCAATTGTTTGCTCTTGGTTACATATGACATTTGAACACAAGGAGTTTGTGTGTATATGAGATAATCCTTTCTGTGTTCAGAATGATGCCAGTGCTTTTCTGATGTGTATATTTTTGTTTTTTATTTTTCATCCTGGTTTATAAAATAAGCAGTTTGTACAGTTTTCAACCAGTCCTGATGGGTAAATGTTATTAAAATAAAAAGTTTAAAAAAAAAATTGACACTATAGTAAAATTACCATTGTTTTTTGAGAACATGACTTGCTAGCCTAACTTGTGAAACAGAATTGCTTTTAGCATAATGGAAGTATTTTTTCACATTTCTTTGTACAAAGTTTATATTAAAAATAGCAAAAAAAAATCAATGGCTTGTATCTCTATTATAACCTCTTTAGTATCTTTGAATCTACAAGTACCTGGTAGCGTGGAAGAAAATTGCTTTAGTGCTCACATCAGTAAGCACTAGAAAATTGGATGTGTTCTCCTGGTATTTTCAACTTCTTGTCACACTATGCAAAGTGAAAAACATTTGTTGGATTTTTAAACAGATTGGGTATGAAATTGGAGGTGCACAGGAGTGCAGTTATGCACCTGTATCCTCCATGTTCCTTTCCATGCCATCATCCCAACCCCAAATTGAACCAACAGCCTGTTTCTAACCCAGAATTGAAAATTATGGCCCATTGTTTCATACTGAAAATGAATAGGTGAGGTTTATGGATTAGTTTAGTGAACATCTGTTGTTTCACAGCTGATGTTAAGGGGCTGCTTTTAAAATTTGTTAAAATTTAAAATTCAACGTGCTGTGGAGTTCAGAAAAAGCATATTATTTGACTCTGTTTTCATCAGTGACTCAAGGCAGGAGTCTGTCATCACTTTTTAAATTAAAAGCTCAGCTAAATATGTAGTGTGACTTGCTTAACACATGGTGGGGCTGTAACCTTATAAAAAATTGCTTGTCAAAATGAGATACTTTTCAGGTCTTGTAAATATAATCCCATAACACATAGCAAATATATTTTTGTGTGACACCTATTTATAGTATTAAATAATGTATTGTTGTTTAAGGTTGGGATGGTAGAATTTAGTGAAAGTGGACTCTTATTATCAATTCTATATTTAATGAGATAGCACTTACCATAAATGGGGACAGTTGGCTTGTTTACAACTGAGGATTATCTTGTCATGTATAGCTTGTTGAATATTATTGAATCCTTATAAGTCAGATATAGGAAAGGTGCAGCTGAACTTACCCATGCTGTTCAGGCATTGGGAATAGGCGAGTCAGTTGTTAAAATATGGTAAAGGTCAGAAAAATTAGATTCTTGATGTTGAGAGAGTCCAATTTTTACACCTGAGGTTTTAATGGTGAGATGAGAATCTTGTTAGTGAGTGGCAGGAGGCCTATTTGCGTGTATTAATGTCAGATTATTACCTGTTTTCACCTCATTTAGATGCAGTGTGCTATTCTCTGGAGGTGAGGGGTTGGACAGTGACAACTCCTGACCTGAAAATCAGTGAATATCTGGTAGTATCTCCTCCTAACAACTCCCAGCATCACGGGGCACGCTGCATGGATAGTGACTGCCTGCACCCTAAACGTCTACCCCACCACCCCACAACCCATCAGCCTTATCACATCACCTGTCACATCTCTGCCTTAGAATACAGTTCTCCACTTTAATACTGCACTTTGGAGCAGAACCAACACCTTACGTTGCGATACAGCTACCAGACCACTTGAGCACAGGGACAGGCATTGGAGCAGTCTGCATCTCAAGGCTGTTAAGTAGCTTAATGTCTGGTACCTTATCAGGTGCCTTCTGAAAGTCCAAGAAATACTACATTCACTGCTTTCCCCTTTATCTATCCTGCTTGGTTTTGCCACCAATTCTAAAAAAAAATTAAGCATAATTACCATGTCACAAAGCCATGCTGACTCTGTTTGATCATATTAAGCATTTCTAAGTGTTCTGCTATTACATCCTTTATATTAATTCTAATTTTTTTCCCAATAAATGACATTTAGCTAACTGGCCTCGAATTAGCTGTGGATTTTTTTTTGTCTCCCCTTTTTAAATAAAGGTATTGCCATGGCACTTTTCCAATCCTCTAGGACCTTTGCAGTATGTAAGGATTCTTTGATTATTGCTAATACATTCATCATCCCTGTGGCTCCTTCTTTGAATACCAAGGATGCATCCCATCAGGTCCAGGGGATTTATTGATTTTTAGCCCCATGACATTACATAACACTTTTTCTCTAGGAGCAGTTATTGTAATTATTTCTTCCCCTCATTTTGCCCCTTGATTACTCAGTAATTTTGGAATGCTATTAGTGTCTTCTATTGTGAAAACTGGTGTGAAGTATTTATTCAACTGCTCTGTCATTTTCTGGTTCTCCATTATTAATTCCCTGGCCTCATTATCTAAGGGGCCAATGTTCACTTTGGCTTCTCTTCCCTTTTACATATGTAAAGCAGCTCTTGATCTGTCTTGATATTACTTGCAAGTTTGCCAAAGTTCAACTTGTCCCTTTTTTTGTTTGCTTGTCTTTTGGTTTTTAACACTTTCCTAATCCTGTTACCACTAATTTTTCCCATATTGCATGTTTTTTTTTCTTTCAATGTGATGCTCGCCTTACCATTCCTCGTATTGGGTTATCCCCTTTCTAGAATCCTTCTTCCTCACTGGGATATAACTTCACTGTGAGCCAAGAACTATTTTCTTAAATATCTGCCATTTTTCCTCAACTGCTTTTGCTGCTAAACTCCTTTCTCAATCCATTCCACCTAGCTCTACCCTCATTCTGTTGTAATTATCTTATTTAAGTTTAGCTTGGTTGTTTCCAACCCAAGTTCCTGCCTCTCAAATTAAATGCTAAGTTCTACCATGTTATGGTCACTGTTTCCTAGTGGATCTTTTGCTCTGACATCAATACTAAACCCACTTCAATTACATATTACCAGATCCAAAACAGCATGATTCCTGGTTGGATCCATAACGGATTGTTGTAGGAAATTGTCCTGTACACAGACTCTGAATTTTTCTTTGTGGCTACCTCTGCCAAGCTACATGAAGGTTAAAGTTGCCCATGATTAATGTAATGCATTTTTACGTGCCCTTATCTTCTTATTTATTCTGTTTCGTGATGAATAACAACTGTTTAGTAGCAGTCATCGATAGGCCCCATATGTAATTTTTCTGTTGTTGTTATTTCTTAACTCAACTCCTAGGGAATCTATATCATCTTATCCAAAGTAATTTCTTGCGATCTTACTTGTTCCTTCCCATAGTAACCATGTTATCTCACCATTCTTTCCTTCCTGCCTGTCCTTTAGAAAATCACATCCCTGAATATTTAGATCCCAGCTTTGGCCTCCGTGTAACCATGTCTGTGATTGCAGTAAGATCATACCCATTCACCTGTGTTTATGCCATTATTTCAGTCATATTTTTTCAAATCCGACATGTATCCAACTAAAGAGCCACTAATTTTGCCTTTCAACCATTTTTTTTCCCCTTTGACTATACTTAGAATCATTATCCAAATAACTACCCTGTAATGCTGCTACATCCCCTTGTTTTGTAAGTTTATATTTACTCTTTCCCAAGCAACAGCAACCCCCATCCCCGCTGGCACCACCAAAATCATTTAAAGCACTTTCTGAAGCCCTAAATATTCCATTTACCAGGTCATTTGCCCCAGCATGGTTAAAGTGAAGCCCATCCCACCAAAAGAGCTCCTTTTTACCCCAGTACTGGTGCCAGTGCCCCACAGACAGACAGTCGTTCCTTCCATAGCAATCCTTGAGCCAGACATTTAACTCCTTGAACTTTATCTACTCTAAGCCAGTTTGCCTGCCTCTTCACCGCCCCCCCCCCCCAGCTCCGGTAAATTCAGAGATTATTGTCTTGGAGGTTCTGCTTTTTCATTTAGCTCCTAGCTGTTCAAAATCTTTCAGAAAAACCTTCTTTCTGCTTGTATCAATGTGGACAATGACTTGGATCTCTCCCATCCCACTCCAAGTCCTTCTTCTGCCATGAGGAGATGTCCTGAATCCTGGCAGCAGGCAGGCAACTCAGCCTACCAGACACCCATGCAAAGCTACAGAGAGCTGTATCTATCCCCTTTAATTACATTGTCCCCCACCACTACTACACACCTATTCCCTTGTCCGACTTGAGTGGTTCCCTGTACCAAGGTATCTTGGTTGGTTTGTTCGTTCTCCCCAAAGTCCTCGCAGCTTACAAGAACTTTGTAATTGTTTGACAGTTGCAGGGGCTGATGCTCCTCAACCTTACTCCCACCCCTCCCCCAGTCCTCCTATCTGCTTCACCACTTGTCCCTGATCACAAACCTATTTTGAATTACTGATTCTGAGGGGTGTGACTGCCTCTGGAGCAAAGTATACTGATAACTTTCCCCTTCTTAGATGTGGTGCAATGTCTGGAGTTTGGACTCCAGCTCCTCAAATCTGATCCGAAGCTCTTTGACTCTAAAGTGTTTGGAACTTATAGGGTTGGAAGGGAGTCACAGCATGGAAACAGGCCCTTCTGTTTAACTTGCCCATGGTGCCAATCATACTACAGATGTGTTTACTTTGGATCACGTTAGTGCCCAGTAGCTTCCACTTGTAGATGCAACACATCATCATTATTGGACTTATTATAAAGTAGTGAATAGATTCCTTGCTGCACACAGTTTACTGTAATTTTGTTTTTTTAAACAAAAACACCAGTGTCAATCTTGTACTTCAGCTATTTCTAAGACAGCAAAGCAAAACAAACTAAACACAAGCTGACGATTTTGCTTTTACTTTAGAGACCAGGAGTATGCACCAATCCTATTGTCCACTCAGCTTCCATCTCAGTGTTTGTGTCACCCTGTGGTTTGTGACATAATTTCACCACTGGTCTCAATGCAGGCCGGCCTTTCGATCCACGTCTTTTATCTTCCCCCACTCGCCTCATTCTGGTGAGTTTACTTTTTGTAGTAAACCTTACAGAAAGCACATCCGCTTCTCCCCTGCAACCCAGCCTCACGCTAAATTTTCACTTTAAACAAAATTTCCAAAAGTCCTCACTCGGCCTTCGACTCTGCTGAAGCCTCCTTATATTGATCAAACGCGTGAAGTGTGCGTCAACCAAATAGACATGTCTCAAAGTCTAAGGGGAGAAGTCCTCAGTTGAGTTAAGGGGCACTGTTATCAGGTGGTGCCAATATATTAAGTCAGGGGCATCGTGCATCATCAAACCAGGGCCTTGGACATGGTCAGTCAGGCCACTTTTGGGGTCAAGGATTCTATATTGTTCAGCCTCACAGGGTGTGAGCCATGGTTAGTCCTGAGAAATGACCAGATCG